AGGGGGGAGGGTGCCCTAGGTGGGTACTTAGTGGGGGGCTGACAGGGGATGGGGCAGGTTGGGTGTCTGTTGGGTAGAATTTGGGGGTGGTGCCCCAATCCCTGTGGCTGTTGCACTGTTTGAGGAGGGTTCTCCACTTCCCTCTGTGTGTGTGTGTGTGTGTGTGTGTTACACACGTGTGTAGAGGAGAGGACTGACTAAGGAGACTTAAAGGAGAGTTACTAAGCTTACAGCTTATCCTTCCCCCACAGCTTATCTTAAGCATTTCTCCCTTGATGGAGAGATCAGGCGACCTTCTTATGCTGCATTTGTGATGACAGGTTTGCTGCTTCGTGTGCTACGAAGGAGGGTGATGGGAACTGAGGTGGAGAGGCTGCCAGGGGGGTGGAGGGAACTGAGTTATTGAGTAGTGTGACAAGGCGAGATGTGATTGTGTAGCGCTTGGTACTTGGCAGCGTTGAGGAGGACCTCACTGACTGGACACAGAGAGTCGTAAGTCAACATCTTATTGGGTGTAGTGAGGCCTCAGAGAGGAGGAGGAGGGGGGGAGGTATCTGTTCCTCCAGGGAGTATACTGTGTGTGGCCTTGAGGAGTATACTGTGTGTGGGCTCGAGGAGTATACTGTGTGTGTGGGCTCGAGAAGTATACTGTGTGTGGCCTCGAGGAGTATACTGTGTGTGTGGGCTCGAGGAGTATACTGTGTATGTGGGCTCGAGTATACTATGTGTGTGGCCTCGAGGAGTATACTGTGTGTGTGGCCTCCAGGACTATACTGTGTGTGGCCTCCAGGACTATACTGTGTGTGGCCTCCAGGACTATACTGTGTGTGGCCTCCAGGACTATACTGTGTGTGGCCTCCAGGACTATACTGTGTGTGGCCTCCAGGACTATACTGTGTGTGGCCTCCAGGACTATACTGTGTGTGGCCTCCAGGACTATACTGTGTGTGGCCTCCAGGACTATACTGTGTGTGGCCTCATGGATTATACTGTGAGTGGCCTCCAGGACTATACTGTGTGTGGCCTCATGGACTATACTGTGTGTGGCCTCCAGGACTATACTGTGAGTGGCCTCCAGGACTATACTGTGTATGGCCTCCAGGACTATACTGTGTGTGGCCTCCAGGACTATACTGTGTGTGGCCTCATGGACTATACTGTGAGTGGCCTCCAGGACTATACTGTGTGTGGCCTCATGGACTATACTGTGTGTGGCCTCCAGGACTATACTGTGAGTGGCCTCTAGGACTATACTGTGTATGGCCTCCAGGACTATACTGTGTGTGGCCTCCAGGACTATACTGTGTATGGCCTCCAGGACTATACTGTGTGTGGCCTCCAGGACTATACTGTGTATGGCCTCCAGGACTATACTGTGTGTGGCCTCCAGGACTATACTGTGTGTGGCCTCATGGACTATACTGTGTGTGGCCTCCAGGACTATACTGTGTGTGGCCTCCAGGACTATACTGTGTGTGGCCTCCAGGACTATACTGTGTGTGCCTCCAGGACTATACTGTGTGTGGCCTCCAGGACTATACTGTGTGTGCCTCCAGGACTATACTGTGAGTGGCCTCCAGGACTATACTGTGTGTGGCCTCCAGGACTATACTGTGTGTGGCCTCCAGGACTATACTGTGTGTGGCCTCCAGGACTATACTGTGTGTGGCCTCCAGGACTATACTGTGAGTGGCCTCATGGACTATACTGTGTGTGGCCTCCAGTACTATACTGTGTGTGGCCTCCAGGACTATACTGTGTGTGGCCTCCAGGACTATACTGTGTGTGGCCTCCAGGACTATACTGTGTGTGGCCTCATGGACTATACTGTGTGTGGCCTCATGGACTATACTGTGTGTGGCCTCCAGGACTATACTGTGAGTGGCCTCCAGGACTATACTGTGTATGGCCTCCAGGACTATACTGTGTGTGGCCTCCAGGACTATACTGTGTGTGGCCTCATGGACTATACTGTGAGTGGCCTCCAGGACTATACTGTGTGTGGCCTCATGGACTATACTGTGTGTGGCCTCCAGGACTATACTGTGAGTGGCCTCTAGGACTATACTGTGTATGGCCTCCAGGACTATACTGTGTGTGGCCTCCAGGACTATACTGTGTATGGCCTCCAGGACTATACTGTGTGTGGCCTCCAGGACTATACTGTGTATGGCCTCCAGGACTATACTGTGTGTGGCCTCCAGGACTATACTGTGTGTGGCCTCATGGACTATACTGTGTGTGGCCTCCAGGACTATACTGTGTGTGGCCTCCAGGACTATACTGTGTGTGGCCTCCAGGACTATACTGTGTGTGCCTCCAGGACTATACTGTGTGTGGCCTCCAGGACTATACTGTGTGTGCCTCCAGGACTATACTGTGAGTGGCCTCCAGGACTATACTGTGTGTGGCCTCCAGGACTATACTGTGTGTGGCCTCCAGGACTATACTGTGTGTGGCCTCCAGGACTATACTGTGTGTGGCCTCCAGGACTATACTGTGAGTGGCCTCATGGACTATACTGTGTGTGGCCTCCAGGACTATACTGTGTGTGGCCTCCAGGACTATACTGTGTGTGGCCTCCAGGACTATACTGTGTGTGGCCTCCAGGACTATACTGTGTGTGGCCTCCAGGACTATACTGTGTGTGGCCTCATGGACTATACTGTGTGTGGCCTCCAGGACTATACTGTGTGTGGCCTCATGGACTATACTGTGTGTGGCCTCCAGGACTATACTGTGTGTGGCCTCATGGACTATACTGTGAGTGGCCTCATGGACTATACTGTGTGTGGCCTCCAGGACTATACTGTGAGTGGCCTCATGGACTATACTGTGTGTGGCCTCATGGACTATACTGTGTGTGGCCTCCAGGACTATACTGTGTGTGGCCTCCAGGACTATACTGTGTGTGGCCTCCAGGACTATACTGTGTGTGGCCTCATGGACTATACTGTGAGTGGCCTCCAGGACTATACTGTGTGTGGCCTCATGGACTATACTGTGTGTGGCCTCCAGGACTATACTGTGTGTGGCCTCCAGGACTATACTGTGTGTGGCCTCCAGGACTATACTGTGTGTGGCCTCCAGGACTATACTGTGTGTGGCCTCCAGGACTATACTGTGAGTGGCCTCCAGGACTATACTGTGTGTGGCCTCCAGGACTATACTGTGTGTGGCCTCCAGGACTATACTGTGTGTGGCCTCCAGGACTATACTGTGAGTGGCCTCATGGACTATACTGTGTGTGGCCTCATGGACTATACTGTGTGTGGCCTCCAGGACTATACTGTGCGTGGCCTCCAGGACTATACTGTGAGTGGCCTCATGGACTATACTGTGTGTGGCCTCATGGACTATACTGTGTGTGGCCTCATGGACTATACTGTGTGTGGCCTCATGGACTATATTGTGTGTGGCCTCCAGGACTATACTGTGTGTGGCCTCCAGGACTATACTGTGAGTGGCCTCATGGACTATACTGTGTGTGGCCTCATGGACTATACTGTGTGTGGCCTCCAGGACTATACTGTGTGTGGCCTCCAGGACTATACTGTGAGTGGCCTCATGGACTATACTGTGTGTGGCCTCATGGACTATACTGTGTGTGGCCTCATGGACTATACTGTGTGTGGCCTCATGGACTATATTGTGTGTGGCCTCCAGGACTATACTGTGTGTGGCCTCATGGACTATACTGTGTGTGGCCTCCAGGACTATACTGTGTGTGGCCTCCAGGACTATACTGTGTGTGGCCTCCAGGACTATACTGTGTGTGGCCTCCAGGACTATACTGTGTGTGGCCTCCAGGACTATACTGTGTGTGGCCTCCAGGACTATACTGTGTGTGGCCTCCAGGACTATACTGTGTGTGGCCTCATGGACTATACTGTGTGTGGCCTCCAGGACTATACTGTGTGTGGCCTCCAGGACTATACTGTGTGTGGCCTCATGGACTATATTGTGTGTGGCCTCCAGGACTATACTGTGTGTGGCCTCCAGGACTATACTGTGTGTGGCCTCCAGGACTATACTGTGTGTGGCCTCATGGACTATACTGTGTGTGGCCTCATGGACTATACTGTGTGTGGCCTCCAGGACTATACTGTGTGTGGCCTCCAGGACTATACTGTGTGTGGCCTCATGGACTATACTGTGTGTGGCCTCCAGGACTATACTGTGTGTGGCCTCCAGGACTATACTGTGTGTGGCCTCATGGACTATACTGTGTGTGGCCTCATGGACTATACTGTGTGTGGCCTCATGGACTATATTGTGTGTGGCCTCATGGACTATACTGTGTGTGGCCTCATGGACTATACTGTGTGTGGCCTCATGGACTATATTGTGTGTGGCCTCATGGACTATACTGTGTGTGGCCTCATGGACTATACTGTGTGTGGCCTCATGGACTATACTGTGTGTGGCCTCGAAGACTTACACCTCAACCAGTTTAAGACGTAAGTCTCGTCTTAACCATACACTCAGACCTTGACAAAGCACTCAGGAGAGTGCAAAAGACTTAGTGTAAATTATCCACTTAAATTTCACAAACACATAAACGTGGGTTTTTATCCAATTACAATGATCATTCTTATATAAATTATTTGTTTATGCTCTCAGTGTTTTCGTTAAATTGATTATAATAAGTCATAATTTACTGAGTAATTATTGATAAACATTGTGTTAAATCAAATTATTCATTCTAAAGTGTTATCACCCTACTTTATTTTTGTGCCATTATCATCAGTAACTGGAGAGTGTATTAGGCCTTGCGGTATCTGATTGTAGCGAACTCAGCGATTGTAGCGAGTAGTATAAATGTATTTATAATACAAACGTCATATTTTCCTATGTTAATGTTCAGCTAGATGAGATTGTTTGGTTTGGTGTTGGGCTGTCAATCTCAGGGGGAGGGGGGGGGGGAGGGGGGGGGGATGCAGTCCGAACACACATACGACACTCCGTTTGTTCTGTGTAACACATACATGACACATCACTTATTCTGTGTAACACACAGGGCACCAGTGTCCTCGTAACCCTTGTATACGCTAGTCATACTGGCTAAGCTATTTCTCCTGATAATTGTCATTATTAAGTTCTCTGCAACACCAACAACACCACTATTGTTCTCTGCAACACCACTATTGTTCTCTGTAACACCAACAACACCACTATTGTTCTCTGCAACACCACTATTGTTCTCTGTAACACCAACAACACCACTATTGTTCTCTGCAACACCACTATTGTTCTCTGTAACACCAACAACACCACTATTGTTCTCTACAACACCACTATTGTTCTCTGTAACACCAACAACACCACTATTGTTCTCTACAACACCACTATTGTTCTCTGTAACACCAACAACACCACTATTGTTCTCTACAACACCACTATTGTTCTCTGTAACACCAACAACACCGCTATTGTTCTCTACAACACAAACAACACCACTATTGTTCTCTACAACACAAGCAACACCACTATTGTTCTCTGCAACACCACTATTGTTCTCCACAACACAAACAACACTATTGTTCTCTGCAACACAAACAACACCACTATTGTTATCCGCAACACAAACAACACCACTATTGTTCTCTACAACACCACTATTGTTCTCTGCAACACAAACAACACCACTATTGTTCTCTGCAACACAAACAACACCACTATTGTTCTCTGCAACACAAACAACACCACTATTGTTCTCTGCAACACAAACACCACCACTATTGTTCTCTACAACACCACTATTGTTCTCTGCAACACAAACAACACCACTATTGTTCTCTACAACACAAACATCACCACTATTGTTCTCTACAACACAAGCAACACCACTATTGTTCTCCGCAACACAAACACCACCACTATTGTTCTCTACAACACCACTATTGTTCTCTGCAACACAAACATCACCACTATTGTTCTCTACAACACAAGCAACACCACTATTGTTCTCTGCAACACAAACAACACCACTATTGTTCTCTACAACACCAACAACACCACTATTGTTCTCTGCAACACCACTATTGTTCTCCGCAACACAAACAACACCACTATTGTTCTCTGCAACACCACTATTGTTCTCTGCAACACAAACAACACCACTATTGTTCTCTACAACACCAACAACACCACTATTGTTCTCTGCAACACCACTATTGTTCTCCGCAACACAAACAACACCACTATTGTTCTCTGCAACACCACTATTGTTCTCCGCAACACAAACAACACCACTATTGTTCTATGCAACACAAACACCACCACTATTGTTCTCTACAACACCACTATTGTTCTCTACAACACAAGCAACACCACTATTGTTCTATGCAACACCACTATTGTTCTCTGCAACACCACTATTGTTCTCCGCAACACCAACAACACCACTATTGTTCTCTGCAACACCACTATTGTTCTCTGCAACACCAACAACACTACTATTGTTCTCTGCAACACCACTATTGTTCTCCGCAACACAAGCAACACCACTATGGCTCGGTAATGCCAACACACACTGCCCGGCGCCTCCCCGCAACAATACTATTCAACATTTTTCAACACAGCAGAATTTTGGAAGAGTTTACACAAATGGATTTTTGATGACGAAATCAACATGTTTTTAAAATAATAAGAGTCTGGGACACAGTATGCAAATAATGCGGGTAAAGTGTCATAAAAAGACTATATAAATGATTTGGCATTTATAGCGAGTATGATGGATGGGAGAGTTTTTGACAAATATATGCCGTCAGTGATGAATCACCCCGTGGGAGCCAGTGATGAATTACCCCGTGGGAGTCAGGGATGAATCACCCCTGGGAGCCAGTGATGAATCACCCCTGGGAGCCAGGGATGAATCACCCCGTTGGAGTCAGGGATGAATCACCCCGTTGGAGTCAGGGATGAATCACCCCGTGGGAGCCAGTGATGAATCACCCCGTGGGAGCCAGGGATGAATCACCCCGTGGGAGCCAGGGATGAATCACCCCGTGGGAGCCAGGGATGAATCACCCCGTGGGAGCCAGTGATGAATCACCCCGTGGGAGCCAGGGATGAATCACCCCGTGGGAACCAGGGATGAATCACCCCGTGGGAGCCAGGGATGAATCACCCCGTGGGAGCCAGGGATGAATCACCCCGTGGGAGCCAGTGATGAATCACCCCGTGGGAGCCAGGGATGAATCACCCCGTGGGAGCCAGTAATGAATCACCCCGTGGGAGCCAGTGATGAATCACCCCGTGGGAGCCAGTGATGAATCACCCCGTGGGAGCCAGGGATGAATCACCCCGTGGGAGCCAATGATGAATCACCCCGTGAGAGCCAGGGATGAATCACCCCGTGGGAGCCAGTGATGAATCACCCCGTGGGAGCCAGTGATGAATCACCCCGTGTGAGCCAGTGATGAATCACCCCTGGGAGCCAGGGATGAATCACCCCGTGGGAGCCAGTGATGAATCACCCCGTGGGAGCCAGGGATGAATCACCCCGTGGGAGCCAGTGATGAATCACCCCGTGGGAGCCAGTGATGAATCACCCCGTGGGAGCCAGTGATGAATCAGCCCGTGGGAGCCAGTGATGAATCAGCCCGTGGGAGCCAGTGATGAATCAGCCCGTGGGAGCCAGTGATGAATCAGCCCGTGGGAGCCAGTGATGAATCACCCCGTGGGAGCCAGGGATGAATCACCCCGTGGGAGCCAGTGATGAATCACCCCGTGGGAGCCAGTGATGAATCACCCCGTGGGAGCCAGGGATGAATCACCCCGTGGGAGCCAGTGATGAATCACCCCGTGGGAGCCAGTGATGAATCACCCCGTGGGAGCCAGTGATGAATCAGCCCGTGGGAGCCAGTGATGAATCACCCCGTGGGAGCCAGTGATGAATCACCCCGTGGGAGCCAGTGATGAATCAGCCCGTGGGAGCCAGTGATGAATCAGCCCGTGGGAGCCAGTGATGAATCAGCCCGTGGGAGCCAGTGATGAATCAGCCCGTGGGAGCCAGTTATGAATCACCCCGTGGGAGCCAGGGATGAATCACCCCGTGGGAGCCAGTGATGAATCACCCCGTGGGAGCCAGTGATGAATCACCCCGTGGGAGCCAGGGATGAATCACCCCGTGGGAGCCAGTGATGAATCACCCCGTGAGAGCCAGTGATGAATCACCCCGTGGGAGCCAGTGATGAATCAATCTTGTAAGGGAAGATTGTCACCTAATTTTTAACGAAATGATCTCTAACTCTCGCTGTAAACCTCGACTCTGTAGCATCAGGTAGAAAAGCATTTAGGATCGTAGTTTAAAGTCGTGTGAGGTACGTCAGCTGTGGACGACGACTTGTAGTCGCTCGCATGACTCCGCAGAGACCGCATATCACCGCCACAAAGACCGCATATCACCTCCGCAAAGACCGCATATCACCTCCGCAAAGACGGCATATCATCCCCGACAAAGACCGCATATCACCCCGACAAAGACCGCATATCACCCCCGACAAAGACCGCATATCACCCCCACAAAGATCGCATATCACCCCCACAAAGACCGCATGTCACCCTCCGCAAAGACCGCATATCACCCCCGCAAAGACCGCATTCATACGCTTCGCGAGCGACGGAGCGATCGCGCATTAACCAAATTTATCGCTGGAGCCTGAAGTTGTCGCCTGGTCGTTAAGGGGGCCCGTCACCCCCTCTGCCCAACCGTCTCCGTCACCCACAAAGGGTTATTTGCTTTAATAGGACTTAAGATAGCTTCATCGACGGAATTTGTTCTAACTGTAATGACTACTTCCATAATGGCGACCCTCTTTGTGCAAATGTCGAAAGAAATCCAGTAAAAAATAGCGGTTGTTTGGATATGCATGAGACAGTTAATGTTGCTGGCATTCATTTATATATATAAAAAAAAGCAATAAAGCATTGTAGGTATGATATCGAAGTCCCAGCCCAAGAATTTACCTGAATTTACCCGAGGGCCATCAATATCTGAAAATATTCGCAAAAGCCTACTAAGTTTTTTTTTTGAAGGCCCCTGACATCAATATTGTTACTAAATCTAGATAAGAAAGATCGTATTGACTGAAGTACTCTTAAGATGACTTGAAGATTATTCACTGAATGACACCTCGAATTTGTATAGCTGTTGGATGGTGATCCTCGCTGATTGAGTTGTGGTGCAATGATTTGTAGAGCAGTGAGATGTTGAGCAGTGATTTGTTGTTCAAATCAGATGACACAGTGTGTCAGATGACACACCCTGAGTTGTACTGAAAAAGGAAATAGATGCCACTACAGGATGAATAAGTTGCGTTAAGTGTGCTGCCACAACTGTGCCCCTGCCTCGCTGTATGGGACAACTTGACACAGCTGTGCCCTGCCTCGCTGTGTATGGGGCAACTGGACTCACTAGTTACCAGGGTACAGCTAACTCCATCATCATTACCTAGCCTCATAAACTTAATTTTATCAGCATTAAACTGCATCTGCCAATCTTTTAACCAATGCAAAACCCTATTTAGATCGTCTTGAAGTGATAGTGAGTTTTTTTCCATGTTTATTTTCCTCCCGATTTTTTGCATCATCTGCAAATTTGCAAATATTGCAACTCAAACCTGAATCTAAATCATTTATATATATTAAAAATAACAGAGGTCCCAGGACAGAGCCTTGATACACTCCACTTACAACATTTTCCCACTCTGACTTAACCCTATTTACACTAACTTTCTGTTTCCTTTGGTATAGCCATGCCCTAATCCAACTTAATATAGCACCCCCAATACCATGAGCCTCTATCTTTTTAATCAGTCTTTCATGTGGCACTGTATCAAAGCTTTGCGAAAGTCAAGGTACACAACATCATAAACCTTACCACCATCAACTGCCTCAACTATGCCGGAATAAAATGATAGCAAATTTGTTAAACATGAACGGCCATTTGTAAAACCATGTTGTGAATCATTTATTAATTTATGTTATTCGAGATGAAGACGAATGGTATTTGCAATTATCGATTCAAGTAACTTTTCCACAATAAACGTTAGGCTAATTGGCCGATACTTTGACGCAAGCGATCTGTCTCCTTTCTTAACAATTGGTACCACATTAGCAACCTTCCAGGACTCTGGCACTCTGCCTGACTCTAATGATTTATTAAATATGGTAGACAGTGGCTTGCAAAGCTCCTCTTTGCATTCTTTAAGCACCCTGGCAAACACTTCATCCGGTCATGGGGATTTGTTTGGTTTGAGTTTCACCATTTATTTAATAACATCCTGGTAACTGTTAAACTAGTCAACCTGTCCTCGTCCCCACCCACATAGACTTGTTTCGCTGAAGGCATAGTGTTACGTTCCTCTTTCGTAAATACAGAGATAAAATATTTATTAAAAATACTACTCGTCTCTTCGTCATTATCCATTATCTGACCTGTCTCAGTTTTAATGGACCTATCCTTTCTCTAATCTTTGTTCGATATAAATAAAAAAAAAACTTTAGGATATGTCTTTGCTTACCCTGCTATACGAAATTCATTGTTTCTTTTTGCCCTCCTGATCTCTTTTTTAACATTTCTAACCAGTTGTGCGAATTCTTGTTCTAATCTGACTTCCCCATTCTTAATCCTTTTGTACCACGCTCTCTTTCTACCTATAAAGAAAGCAACTTGTGCGACAACTTGACACAGCTGTTAACTGCCTTGCTATGGGTGGGACAACTTGACACAGCTGTACACTGCCTTGCTATGGATGGGACAACTTGACACACACGACAGAAGACACAACACTCGCAGGATAGCCGGCCACATCCGGCTAAATGAACATTTGTATATATCTCAAAAAAACAAAAAGTCGTTACATTCTTGTAGAGCCACTAGTACGCGTAGCGTTTCGGGCAGGTCCCTGGAATACGATCCCCGCCGCGAAGAATCGTTGTTACAACCAAGTACCCATTTTACTGTTGAGTTAAACAGAGGCTACAGTTAAGGATTTGCGCCCAGTAAATCCTCCCAGGCCAGGATACGAACCCAGGACAAAGCGCTCGCGGAACGCCAGGCGAGTGTCTTACCACTGCACCACGGAGATTTTCGCTTCAGGGCTTAAGAATAATTGCAGTACAAATATAAATAATATTACCAGTAAAGGAATCAAAACAATTATACCAAACAGCATTCATAATACTTACAATATATAATTAAATCAAGAGCCTTAATATGATTAATCATATTACTCACCAACACTACAAAACCTGTGCCATTCCCTACAGAAACACCTCCCACCAACCCCCCCTCCTTCTCCCCCAGTCTGAATAACTAAACCAAACGCAGGTGGTAAAAAAAAATATATAAACTGTGCAAAATGTATTTATGCTTTGCGTTTGGTGCAAATATTAAAAGGAACATTTGGCTGTGTTGCCCCGTGATCAGGGCGCTCGTATCGGGCGATTGCGGAATGAAGATTTATAAAAACAAATAAACCCCCCAAAAATATACAGATTTATATAGTGAACGGAATGAGTAGCTCCCACGGGGTGATTCATCACTGGCTCCCACGGGGTGATTCATCACTGGCTCCCACGGGGTGATTCATCACTGACGGCATATATTTGTCAAAAACTCTCCCATCCATCATACTCGCTATAAATGCCAAATCATTTATATAGTCTTTTTATGACACTTTACCCGCATTATTTGCATACTGTGTCCCAGACTCTTATTATTTTAAAAACATGTTGATTTCGTCATCAAAAATCCATTTGTGTAAACTCTTCCAAAATTCTGCTGTGTTGAAAAATGTTGAATAGTATTGTTGCGGGGAGGCGCCGGGCAGTGTGTGTTGGCATTACCGAGCCATAGTGGTGTTGCTTGTGTTGCGGAGAACAATAGTGGTGTTGCAGAGAACAATATTGGTGTTGTTGGTGTTGCGGAGAACAATAGTGGTGTTGCAGAGAACAATAGTGGTGTTGCATAGAACAATAGTGGTGTTGCTTGTGTTGTAGAGAACAATAGTGGTGGTGTTTGTGTTGCATAGAACAATAGTGGTGTTGTTTGTGTTGCGGAGAACAATAGTGGTGTTGCAGAGAACAATAGTGGTGTTGTTTGTGTTGCGGAGAACAATAGTGGTGTTGCAGAGAACAATAGTGGTGTTGTTTGTGTTGCAGAGAACAATAGTGGTGTTGTTTGTCTTGCAGAGAACAATAGTGGTGTTGCAGAGAACAAAAATGGTGTTGTTGTTGTTACAAAGAACAAAAACGGTGTGTTACAGAAATAAATAATTTTATATCCTTTAAAGAGGTCACTACTCTTTTATATTGACATAATATACCAATAATGGTGCTATATTATTTGAGGAGGACAATACAGGTGCTATATACATTACTGATGACTATACAGGTGATGTATATTTTAAGGAGGACAGTATACAGGTGTTATATACGTTGAGGACATTAATGCAGATTATGAATACGTTAAGGACAATACAATTGTTGTATACGTTAAGAGGGAAAATACAGGTGCTGTATACGATAAGGACAATAGACGTATTATACATGTTAAGAAAGACAAATTATGTGTAATATACATTAAGGAGGATAATACAGGTTTTGTATAGTTAAAGAGAACAATAGCAGTGTGATATACATTGTGAGGAATTAATGTATATAAGTATGTTTTAAGTATTTTTATCCATTAAGGAGAACGAGATAATCTGACTGCAAATGCTAAACACTGAGAGTAAGGGATGAGATGTTTCGCTCTCTGTCTTTAAGTGTTGAGATTGACAACCTGTCAATTTCTTCACCGCGTCGTCATGTGTCAGGTCCTTGTCACCATCCCTGTCAAGTGCTATACTGTCAACCTTGGATATAATGTAGGATATTTGTAAGGTTATCATAACCCACTCATTGGATTTGACACTTAAGTGGCGACGTTTCGGCCCATTTTGTTGTATCCTTATCAGGTCCACTTGACAAGGACTGACCGAAACGTTGTCACTGTTATTATATTTGTTATGTGTGGGTTGGGTTATTGGTGTTCACTCACGTTATTGTGACTTGCTCTCTGCATAAAGTTATGACGCCGTTTATATTTAGCAAATTTAATGTAACAGAACTTCAATGGGTAAAAAATGCACCGAGGTTTTGCACACAAATAGTAGATTATATCATAGTTTTTTATTTTAACTTAAGTAATATACATACATTTAGGTTTAAAGTTTGCAAGAAATAATTCAAGTCACGTTTCCATATACAGTACTCGAAATAGCATAATCCACATATATACATATACATATAAATATATACATATATTTAGGCTATAAAATACAATGCCTGACTGTTCACAGTTGGAGGCCATACGCTTGGGGCTCGGCTCGCCTAATTGGCAGAGGGAAGGGTCTGGGGTCCGGGATAAACATAGGCTGATCGGGGGTGGCCATAATTCAAAAGAGAACAGCGTGTCAGGGTCACATACAGACCCCCACGACGATATTTGACACTGCCACACAGCTTCACTGCTAAATATTTTAAAAACAAACTGTTGAAAAAATATTTTTATAGTAATATCTACTTTTATTCACTGATCTCTGGAAAATTAACATAAATTTCCTGCTGTCGAACAGTGGTGTGTTAGACAACTGTTGTATGTAGGACAACTGTTGTATGTAGGACAACTGTTGTATGCAGGACAACTGTTGTATGTAGGACAACTGTTGTATGCAGGACAACTGTTGTATGCAGGACAACTGTGGTATGTTGGACAACTGTTGTATGCAGGACAACTGTTGTATGCAGGACAACTGTTGTATGCAGGACAACTGTTGTATGCAGGACAACTGTTGTATGCAGGACAACTGTGGTATGTTGGACAACTGTTGTATGCAGGACAAGTGTTGTATGCAGGACAACTGTTGTATGCAGGACAACTGTTGTATGCAGGACAACTGTTGTATGCAGGACAACTGTGGTATGTTGGACAACTGTTGTATGCAGGACAACTGTTGTATGCAGGACAACTGTTGTATTGTTGGACAACTGTTGTATGTTGGACAACTGTTGTATGCAGGACAACTGTTGTATGTAGGACAACTGTTGTATGTAGGACAACTGTTGTATGTAGGACAACTGTTGTATGCAGGACAACTGTTGTATGTAGGACAACTGTTGTAGGACAACTGTTGTATGTAGGACAACTGTTGTATGAAGGATAACTGTTGTATGTAGGACAACTGTTGTATGCAGGACAACTGTTGTATGTAGGACAACTGTTGTATGCAGGACAACTGTTGTATGTAGGAGAACTGTTGTATGCAGGACAACTGTTGTATGTAGGACAACTGTTGTATGCAGGACAACTGTTGTATGTAGGACAACTGTTGTATGCAGGACAACTGTTGTATGTAGGACAACTGTTGTAGGACAACTGTTGTATGTAGGACAACTGTTGTATGAAGGATAACTGTTGTATGTAGGACAACTGTTGTATGCAGGACAACTGTTGTATGTAGGACAACTGTTGTATGCAGGACAACTGTTGTATGTAGGACAACTGTTGTATGTAGGACAACTGTTGTATGCAGGACAACTGTTGTATGTAGGACAACTGTTGTATGCAGGACAACTGTTGTATGTAGGACAACTGTTGTATGCAGGACAACTGTTGTATGTAGGACAACTGTTGTAGGACAACTGTTGTATGTAGGACAACTGTTGTATGAAGGATAACTGTTGTATGCAGGACAACTGTTGTATGCAGGACAACTGATGTATGTAGGACAACTGTTGTAGGACAACTGTTGTATGTAGGACAACTGTTGCATGAAGGATAACTGTTGTATGCAGGACAACTGTTGTATGCAGGACAACTGATGTATGTAGGACAACTGTTGTAGGACAACTGTTGTATGAAGGATAACTGTTGTATGCAGGACAACTGTTGTATGTAGGACAACTGTTGTATGCATGACAACTGTGGTGATGCTGGACAACAGTAGTATACAGGACAACAGTAGTATACAGGACAACAGTAGTATACAGGACAACAGTAGTATGCAGGACAACAGTAGTATACAGGACAACAGTAGTATACAGGACAACAGTAGTATACAGGACAACAGTAGTATGCAGAACAACAGTAGTATACAGGACAACAGTAGTATACAGAACAACAGTAGTATACAGGACAACAGTAGTATGCAGGACAACAGTAGTATACAGGACAACAGTAGTATACAGGACAACAGTAGTATGCAGGACAACAGTAGTATACAGGACAACAGTAGTATACAGGAAAACAGTAGTATACAGGACAACAGTAGTATGCAGAACAACAGTAGTATACAGGACAACAGTAGTATACAGGAAAACAGTAGTATACAGGACAACAGTAGTATGCAGAACAACAGTAGTATACAGGACAACAGTAGTATACAGGACAACAGTAGTATACAGGACAACAGTAGTATACAGGACAATAGTAGTATACAGGACAACAGTAGTATGCAGGACAACAGTAGTATACAGGACAACAGTAGTATGCAGGACAACAGTAGTATGCAGGACAACTGTAGTATGCAGGACAACAGTAGTATACAGGACAACAGTAGTATACAGGACAACAGTAGTATGCAGGACAACAGTAGTATGCAGGACAACAGTAGTATACAGGACAACAGTAGTATGCAGGACAACAGTAGTATACAGGACAACAGTAGTATGCAGGACAACAGTAGTATACAGGACAACAGTAGTATGCAGGACAACTGTAGTATGCAGGACAACAGTAGTATGCAGGACAACAGTAGTATGCAGGATAACAGTAGTATACAGGACAACAGTAGTATGCAGGACAACAGTAGTATGCAGGACAACTGTAGTATGCAGGACAACAGTAGTATGCAGGACAACAGTAGTATACAGGACAACAGTAGTATACAGGACAACAGTAGTATGCAGGACAACAGTAGTATGCAGGACAACAGTAGTATACAGGACAACAGTAGTATACAGGACAACAGTAGTATGCAGGACAACAGTAGTATGCAGGACAACTGTAGTATGCAGGACAACAGTAGTATGCAGGACAACAGTAGTATACAGGACAACAGTAGTATACAGGACAACAGTAGTATGCAGGACAACAGTAGTATGCAGGACAACTGTAGTATGCAGGACAACAGTAGTATGCAGAACAACAGTAGTATACAGGACAACAGTAGTATGCAGAACAACAGTAGTATACAGGACAACAGTAGTATACAGGACAACAGTAGTATACAGGACAACAGTAGTATACAGGACAACAGTAGTATGCAGGACAACAGTAGTATGCAGGACAACTGTAGTATGCAGAACAACAGTAGTATGCAGGACAACAGTAGTATGCAGGACAACTGTAGTATGCAGGACAACAGTAGTATGCAGGACAACAGTAGTATGCAGAACAACAGTAGTATGCAGGACAACTGTAGTATGCAGGACAACAGTAGTATGCAGGACAACAGTAGTATACAGGACAACAGTAGTATACAGGACAACAGTAGTATGCAGAACAACAGTAGTATACAGGACAACAGTAGTATACAGGACAACAGTAGTATGCAGAACAACAGTAGTATACAGGACAACAGTAGTATACAGGACAACAGTACTATACAGGACAACAGTAGTATGCAGGACAACAGTAGTATGCAGGACAACTGTAGTATGCAGGACAACAGTAGTATGCAGAACAACAGTAGTATACAGGACAACAGTAGTATGCAGAACAACAGTAGTATACAGGACAACAGTAGTATACAGGACAACAGTAGTATACAGGACAACAGTAGTATACAGGACAACAGTAGTATACAGGACAACAGTAGTATGCAGGACAACAGTAGTATGCAGGACAACTGTAGTATGCAGAACAACAGTAGTATGCAGGACAACAGTAGTATGCAGGACAACTGTAGTATGCAGGACAACAGTAGTATGCAGGACAACAGTAGTATGCAGAACAACAGTAGTATGCAGGACAACAGTAGTATACAGGACAACAGTAGTATACAGGACAACAGTAGTATGCAGAACAACAGTAGTATACAGGACAACAGTAGTATACAGGACAACAGTAGTATACAGGACAACAGTAGTATACAGGACAACAGTAGTATGCAGAACAACAGTAGTATACAGGACAACAGTAGTATGCAGAACAACAGTAGTATGCAGGACAAAGATGTTTGACACCGTAACATAACAAATCACAAGGTTTTATACTCAACTGGACACCAACACTTGGACAGTTTGCTTTATACAGACCAATATAGGTGTATATAATATACAGGACTCTATATTTCCCCTATGCAGGGGTTCTATAACCGCACATGGGGACCATATTGCACTTCCAATATAAATAAAGTTAACACTCAAATACATATATAACCTAGGCATTTAAGAGGAGATATGTGGATCATATAGGGCTTGAGGATGTGATATATAGAGTACTAGACTTCACACTATATCAACCACGTGTTGAATGGGTCCACTGGGGCTCTATTGTGACATCCCTCGTCACAGTTTAGTATATTATATGTATGATTATTGCGGCTAAATTTCAGGTATAACTTAATAGTTTTGTTTGTAATAATCCAACTAATTTCAACAAAAAATATTTAATATGCGTTGAAAACTAACTACAGGCGTATGTTTAGCGGCATATAATGTGTCTGTGCCTTCATTATTCCTGTTTATAATGCACAAACAGCATTTTTACAAAGGGAATTATCTATCAGTCTTCCTTCATTGTTTGTTTGTTTGTTGAAGGTGACGTGACCTCACTATCTGTTGTGTGTACAGTCATGCATGTTGTTGTTTGTGATACGTGTTGTTGTATATATATATATATATATATATATATATATATATATATATATATATATATATATATATATATATATATATATATATATACGTACACTATAAACAACATCACGTACAAGACGGCAGCAACTAACCAACTCTAGACTTTAAATAGGACCGAAAAACAAATCATTAAAGCCAATGGTCAGAAATGATTGTTTGCTCTCGTTATATATTTCCTAACTGAGTTTTGAGTTAACCTTCAATCACATTTTTGTCCAGGTGACCGCCAATGTAGTTTTTAACCATTATTACTGTTAATGATAATCAAATTCATTATCAAATGTTACTGAAATTCCACAATCAGATTACGGAGAATGCTAATGACTCAGCAAATTTTAAAATGTCCATTAAATAGTTTGGGTCTGAGGACTGATGTTACATTGGTGGGGTAGTGTGGTTGTCTGGTGGTGGGTGGTTGTCTGGTGGTGGGTGGTTGTGTTGTGTGGTGTGGGTGGTTGTCTGGTGGTGGGTGGTTGTATTGTGTGGTGTGGGTGGTTGTCTGGTGGTGGGTGGTTGTCTGGTGGTGGGTGGTTGTGTTGTGTGGTGGGTGGTTGTGTGGTGGTGGGTGGTTGTCTGGTGGTGGGTGGTTGTCTGGTGGTGGGTGGTTGTGTTGTGTGGTGGGTGGTTGTCTGGTGGTGGGTGGTTGTCTGGTGGTGGGGTAGTGTGGTTGTGGTGGGTGGTTGTCTGGTGGTGGGGTAGTGTGGTTGTGGTGGGTGGTTGTCTGGTGGTGGGTGGTTGTGTTGTGTGGTGGGTGGTTGTCTGGTGGTAGTTGGTTGTCTGGTGGTGGGGTAGTGTGGTTGTGGTGGGTGGTTGTCTGGTGGTGGTGGTTGTGTTGTGTGGTGGGTGGTTGTCTTGTGTGGTGGGTGGTTGTCTTGTGTGGTGGTGGTTGTCTTGTGGTGGTGGGTGGTTGTGTTGTGTGGTGGGTGGTTGTCTGGTGGTGGTGGTTGTGTTGTGTGGTGGGTGGTTGTCTGGTGGTGGGTGGTTGTGTTGTGTGGTGGGTGGTTGTCTGGTGGTGGGTGGTTGTGTTGTGTGGTGTGGGTGGTTGTGTGGTGGTGGTTGTCTTGTGTGGTGTGGGTGGTTGTGTGGTGGTGGTGGGTGGTTGTGTTGTGTGGTGGGTGGTTGTCTGGTGGTGGTGGTTGTGTTGTGTGGTGGGTGGTTGTCTGGTGGTGGGTGGTTGTCTTGTGGTGGTGGTGGTTGTGTTGTGTGGTGGTGGTTGTCTTGTGGTGGTGGTTGCCTGGTGGTGGGTGGTTGTCTGGTGGTGGGTGGTTGTGTTGTGTGGTGGGTGGTTGTCTTGTGTGGTGGTGGTTGTCTTGTGTGGTGGTGGTTGTGTTGTGTGGTGGTGGTTGTCTGATGGTGAGTGGCTATCTTGTGGTGGGTGGTTGTCTTGTGGTGGGTGGCTATCTTGTGGTGGGTGGCTATCTTGTGGTGGGTGACTATCTTGTAGTGGGTGGCTATCTTGTGGTGGGTGGCTATCTTATGGTGGGTGGCTATCTTGTGGTGGGTGGCTATCTTGTAATGGGTGGCTATCTTGTGGTGGGTGGCTGTCTTGTGGTGGGTGGCTATCTTGTGGTGGGTGGCTATCTTGTGGTGGGTGGCTATCTTGTATTGGTGAATATCTATTACTGATGACTATCTCGTGGTGCAAATAATATTATAAATATATATTTTTCCTCTTAAAAACATCTTTTACATACATTTCTTTGATTTATCGTATAAACATTTTATAAACATTCCAGCATATATATATTTTAGCCAAATTTATAACACATTTATATGAATCCTAACAATTCTGGCTGGGCAGTGCAGATGCTATAGAAGTTCAATTTTAAGACTTAAATTTGCAACAATTGGAGAGCTGACGTGTTTCTGTAAAAGTAACTTCCAATTTGAATAATGAGAATTACAGACTAAACATTATATGTTTAACGTAATTGTATTGTCAGGGAATTACAAGGAATGTAACAATGCAAATTTAATAGTGAAACAAGATTGTTAACAAGAGCATAATTAATTGGTCGTAATTGTATTCATTAATATATATATATATATATATATATATATATATATATATATATATATATATACGAAGATTATAAGAGGAAGAGACTGGTATGGTTCATGTTCTGAACACTGTTGATGTAAACGGGGTTAACACTCTGAAGAAGCGTAAAATAGAGACAATTACGTGTTGTGTTTATCGGGGTTGCGGCATTTTTCTAAAATGATGTTGATTTGCTTCGCAAAGTTCGAGTAGTTTGCTCTTGCAAATACGTGAACCAGAAAGTGGTAACAGTGCCGGCTGGATGAGTGAAGCCATTTAGAAGGAAGTGATCATTCATGTAAGAGTCATTTCTTAAAGTGATCATGAGTCGTGGAATAATGAGTGTATGGATGGGTACCTTGGATTCGTCTCCTCAAAACTCATTCCATTCATACCATTCATCCTATTTGCCCCCATTCTACCATTAACTATCCCACTAACCCCTTCCACAGTTCTCACCTTACTCACCATTCTTATTCACCCCCCATCCTTTCCGCTCATGTGACCCATCCTACCCATCCTGTTGAGTAAGCTCATCCAACCCACACACCACCTACTCCACCCACAAACACCACCCTTCAACCTACCCCCACACCACCCACACACCCCCATGTACGTCACCCTCCCCCACACCCCACCCACTACACCCTCCCTCCACACCCCACCCACTACACCCTCCCCACATCCCACCCACCAAGCCTCCCCCCACACCCCACCAACTACACCCACCCCCCACACCCCACCCACTACACCCTTCCCCACACCCAAAATGCTCCAGGGAACACGATCATATATTTCAGGGAGCGTTTTGTGCCACCGGAGCGTCGCTTTACGCTGTCAATAACCGGTGTCTACGTAATTACGAGTGAAAAATATTAATTGGATAGGCATGTTTTTTTCTGGCATCACTTTCTGTAGCATTTTTGTATTTAATATTGGCATTACGATGGGAAAGTCTTCGTGGAATCCACTGAAATGAAGCCAATGACAATTTGTTTTTTGGCTTTTTATTTTAACGCGGAATTTAAGCATTTACTCCACTTACAACAACGTCCTTAAATGTGCTTACGTATAAGGAACTCTAGCTCCCGAGCCCCGACTTCCCAGCTCTTGGTTGTTTGCTGCAGTAATTCTCTCTATGCCTCCTGTTTATCGTCATATTTGTTTGCTAAACAATTTATTAAATTAACTTCTAGTCCAGCTAAAGTAAGCAATAGTCTCCTACTATCCCTAGGACTAACCAGCGCCTTCTTTTTCCTTCCATGTTCTCTTGGTTTGTCCTGCCTTATAATTTACTGTGAGAATCTTGTATGTCGTGATTATATCTCGTTAATTCCGTCTCTTCAAGTATGAGAGTGGTTCCACACACGTTGTGTATTAAATGCTTTCATTTTATTTGATAAAATGCTTTCTTTTGCTTGATTCGCCTAATTTTTGTTTCTTACCACAGACGTGGCAACACATTTACAATGCTAACCAGCATATATACATTTTATTCTGTCCTCCATGGACAGGGTGAGAGATCAGTTACACTTATAGTTCAGTGATTTATTGAACAATCAACCACAGAAGGTGATTGTAGTGCTTTTAAAATGATAATCTAACCTGCATACATAAATACAAATATTTACATCTTTCCTGCATAAACAGTGTTCGAGGGGTCGTTTACATAGTGCTATTAATGTGCGTTTACAAAGGTGAAATGCAATTCTGACCTACTTATTCATATCCTGTATACTCATACATACATATATACATTTTTGTCTCCTACTTTGACAGGGTAACATAGTTGGCAGAGAAACTAGTGTGTTAATAAGCACTTAACCACTGAAAGTGATTAAGATGCTTTTACAAGCTCAGGTTATAGTTACATCACGTACATTGTATAACTGATGCATTACATAGTTAATATTGAGAACACGTCTAGTATATCATCAAGTGTTGCAGTACTCTAAATTATATTTACAGAGTTCAGCATACCTCAGCCCAGGAGGGCGAAAGTCAGTCAACATGGGACATTCCATAATGTAATGTTCAAGGGAGTGCATGTTTTCTCTTTCACACAGTTGACACATGGTGTATTGGACACTTTCACAAAGTTGACACGTGGCGTATTGGACATTTTCACAAAGTTGACACATTGTGTACTCGACATTTGAGTTTTGAAAAAGCTGCCAGATACGTCTATATCCCATACGTATTCTGGCCATTATAAGACCACATTGCCGAGTTCTTGCTCCCTTAGTCCCATATATGAATGTCTCCTCACGATATTAATCATCATGTTTAATGCTACAACTTTCAGGTCTTTGTGAATATGTTAGGTCAGTAAGATTTTCATTAGATATTTGTTTAAATATTCTCTTTGTCACTGCTAATGAAACACCCATAGTAAGCTCTATTACTGGTCTACTACAGGTGGTCTTTGCAAGTCTCCTGAGAATTTGTATGTAATTATGTCTCTCAGGACTAATTATGTAATTGTCTTCCAGCGACGTGAGGTGCAATTCTCGTAGCCTTTCCTCGTAACTCATACCTCGTAATTCTAGAACTAGTCTTGAGGCATATTTTTGAACGTTCTCCCACTTCGTCTTTTGCTTGACAAGGTATGGACTCCATTCTGGAGCTGCATACTTCAGGATTCGTCTGACATGTGTGTACTCACCTATTATTTAGGTGAGTACATACTTGTCAGACCAATCCTGGAGTATGCGTCCCCAGAATGGAGTCCATACCTTGTCAAGCAAAAGTATGCTGTGTGTGTGTGTGTGTGTGTGTGTGTGTGTGTGTGTGTGTGTGTGTGTGTGTGTGTGTGTGTGTGTGTGTGTGTGTGTGTGTACTCACCTAATTGTAATCACCTAATTGTGCTTGCGGGGGTTGAGCTTTGGCTCTTTGGTCCCGCCTCTCAACTGTCAATCAACTGGTGACTGGTGTGTACTCACCTAGTTGTACTCACCTAGTTGTGCTTGCAGGGGTTGAGCTCTGGCTCTTTGGTCCCGCCTCTCAACCGTCAATCAACAGGTGTACAGATTCCTGAGCCTATCGGGCTCTATCATATCTACACTTGAAACTGTGTATGGAGTCAGCCTCCACCACATCACTTCCTAATGCATTCCATTTGTCAACCACTCTGACACTAAAAAAGTTCTTTCTAATATCTCTGTGGCTCATTTGGGCACTCAGTTTCCACCTGTGTCCCCTTGTGCGTGTTCCCCTTGTGTTAAATAGACTGTCTTTATCTACCCTACCAATTCACACGTGTGTGTGTGTACTCACCTATATGTACTCACCTATATGTGCTTGCAGGATCGAGCATTGACTCTTGGATCCCGCCTTTCGAGCATCGGTTGTTTACAGCAATGACTCCTGTCCCATTTCCCTATCATACCTGGTTTTAAAATTATGAATAGTATTTGCTTCCACAACCTGTTCCTGAAGTGCATTCCATTTCCCCACTACTCTCACGCTAAAAGAAAACTTCCTTACATCTCTGTGACTCATCTGAGTTTCAAGCTTCCATCCATGTCCTCTCGTTCTGTTACTATTCCGTGTGAACATTTCGTCTATGTCCACTCTGTCAATTCCTCTGAGTATCTTATACGTTCCTATCATGTCCCCCCTCTCCCTTCTTCTTTCTAGTGTCGTAAGGCACAGTTCCCTCAGGCGCTCTTCATACCCCATCCCTCGTAGCTCTGGGACGAGTCTCGTTGCAAACCTCTGAACCTTTTCCAGTTTCATTATATGCTTCTTCAGATGGGGACTCCATGATGAGGCGGCATACTCTAAGACTGGCCTTACGTAGGCAGTGTAAAGCGCCCTAAATGCCTCCTTACTTAGGTTTCTGAATGATGTTCTAACTTTTGCCAGTGTAGAGTACGCTGCTGTCGTTATCCTATTAATATGTGCCTCAGGAGATAGATTAGGTGTTACGTCCACCCCCAGGTCTCTTTCACGCGTCGTTACAGGTAGGCTGTTCCCCTTCATTGTGTACTGTCCCTTTGGTCTCCTATCTCCTAGTCCCATTTCCATAACTTTACATTTGCTCGTGTTGAATTCTAGTAGCCATTTCTCTGACCATCTCTGCAATCTGTTCAGGTCCTCTTGGAGGATCCTGCAATCCTCATCTGTCACAACTCTTCTCATCAACTTTGCATCATCCGCAAACATCGACATGTAGGACTCTACGCCTGTAAACATGTCGTTAACATACACAAGAAATAGAATTGGTCCCAGCACCGATCCTTGTGGTACTCCACTTGTTACTGTTCGCCAGTCCGACTTCTCGCCCCTTACCGTAACTCTTTGGCTCCTTCCTGTTAGGTAGTTCCTTATCCATTCTAGGACCTTTCCCCCCACCCCCGCCTGCCTCTCGAGCTTGAACAGCAGTCTCATGTGCGGTACTGTATCAAAGGCTTTTTGGCAGTCCAGAAATATGCAGTCTGCCCAACCATCTCTGTCCTGTCTTATCCTCGTTATTTTATCATAGAATTCCAGAAGGTTTGTTAGGCACGATTTCCCTGTCCAGAACCCATGTTGATGTTTGTTCACAAACCTAATGTTCTCCAGGTGTGCAACCAGTCGTAGCCTAATTATTCTTTCCAGTATTTTACAGGGGATGCTTGTCAGTGATACAGGTCTGTAGTTAAGTGCCTCCTCCCTATCTCCTTTCTTGAAGATCGGCACGACATTTGCCTTCTTCCAGCAACTGGGCAATTCTCCTGACATAAGTGACTCATTAAAGATCATTGCCAGAGGCACGCTGAGGGCCTGTGCTGCTTCTTTTAGTATCCACGGTGATACTTTGTCTGGTCCAACTGCTTTAGTT